TGATTGTTTATATTGTTAACGTTCATATTGTATATAGAGCGACGAAAACCGAGCGGGGAATGTTTGCTTTTAAATTCAAAGGCCGACGGTTGAAATCTTTGTTAAATTGTGGATGTTTAATTATGAAAGCATGTAGAAGAGGGTTTACAATCCTTGGAAATCGTTTGAGTATAACCTATATCCTGTCTTTTGAAGCAAGGGTGGATTTATGGTGTAGGTTAGGTAAATTATTATCGGAAATGATGTTTTATAAATGAAAAGGAGTCATCAAAATCTGTTCTCAAACGCAAGAGACGTGATGGATGCATGCGTAAAAACACAATGCAATACACAATCGTTAAAAGTGGAACCAAAGCATAAATTAAGCCTTACCATGACAACAATGAGCTACTAAATAAGTATTCCGACCGTGCTTGCATTTGAAAAGACCCCAAGTCGAGGTGATATCGTGTAATTAGTAATCGAATACAGTCCCATATACGACACTGCATTGATGGAATAACAAACAAGTCATTCTAATATGTTGCCTACATGTGCTAAGCCATTTCTATCAGCTTCTTCAGCTCTAAACGTGACAAGCGTTTTTGTTATGCATAGCTGATTACGGTATAATATTATTATGTATTAAGTTTTAATAGTACACAGTACAGTACAGTACAGTAGTTTTAATAGTAGTAGTAGGAATTACGAACGAGACTATTTTAGAAGCGCGAAGTGGAAGACTTAGTCGACCATGGCCGTAACGAGGTTATCTATGCTGTAATGAGAAGAAAAAAGGCCCGAGGGTTTTATTTGGAGCATTATAGTCAAATTAGCCTGCATGCAATCGTACTATTTACGTGCAAGTGTGTTGAAAATTAGTTTTACATTGATTATATCATTTAGGAATCACATATATAAATGTGTCAAGTATTTCAATTATGTATTGGTGTTGTTTACAGTATTTTGTCATCTTTTGGGTAATTTTAGAATTTCCCTTTCATAAGTATTCCCATTTTTACTTATAACATACAGCTTTAAATAACGTTTGATGGTCATTTACTAGAGGTGGGCGTTCAAACGAAAAGCACTTAAAAATGTTTGTTTTTTTAAAATAAGCTTACTAAGCACGCTTTTTATTTTAAGCGTAAGCGTTCGTCAGTTCTATACTTAACCATTTTAATTTTATACAGCGTGCCTAAGTTTCAAGGTCAAGTTTCAATGTGAATAAGCATTTTATAAATAAAAATAAAACTCGTATTTTACAAATAAACTTACTTAATTTAGAACCTTTAGTGATCTACTCTTGCTTTTCGCTATCAACACAACGTTTCAAGCTTTTTTTAATATAAAAGTCTATTTGTAAGTAAAAAGCGTTTAAGGGAACAGCGTCAAAAATGGCGCGCTTTTTTAAAAAGCTGCAACGTTTAAACGTTCATAAAAATACGCAGTTTTTCCCCATCTCGTAGTCATTACTGCCTTCGTGGCCGAACGGTTACTATGCTAGACTGCCACGCAGATGTTCCGGGTTCGACGCCGGACCGAGAGAAATATTTGTATGATCTATTTATTTCTCTCGTGAGTTTGGGTGTAAATTGTGGTTGTCTATGTGTGTGTCCATGGCACTGCGATACAGGGTTGCCTAGTGCGGGGCTATGAATGTGTGCGTGTTAATATTATTGTTATTATATTCCCATGGGCAAACCCACGGGAATCGAATTGTATGCATCGCTTGCTCCTTATAGACAGTTGGAAGTTTTAAAACGCGTCTCAATCAAAACCTCCAGTATGATTTTACAGTGTTGATCGTTTCCTGCGACCATTTATTGTACTTTTATGGCAAATTTAATTATGCTTGTGACATTTTCAGCGGTCGCTTGGGGTGAGCGGCACTATAAATTGTAAATATAGTGGGTTTAAAAATATTATATTTTTAAATGTCACGATGGAGGAAAATCGTTGACGAATAATTTCCGTCTAGCAGTGTAACTGCAACGTAGTCGTAATAAACTGAATAAACTTATTTTCTATTAAAAAAAAGCAAATAAATTAAAAATAATTAGACTTTATTTTTCAACACAAAAACTTGAAATAACAGCGTAAAACATTGTCGTAGAAAAGGTAAAAGCTTCAACAGTTTACTGGTTAGCATTTTTTTTTGAGACCAAGTGATGGGATGAGCTAGTCACCCAACTAGTGGTAAGTGACACGCCTGTCCATAACAGTTGCAGTACTACTCACAAATATCGGAGGGACACTGCCACTGCACCCGTCATCCTGTAACAAATCGTGACAGGTCTCACGCGCCTGTAATGCTCACATTACTGCTTGGCGGCAGAAACACGTAAGGTGGCAGTAAGTAGGTACTTCCCTGGACCAATTCTTTCACGAGGAGCTCTACGGTTACTAAATTGTTACAGTACGTTTCATTAACTATTTATCGCTGGAAACAGTGCGGTATTTATACTTTCTCAATTAAATATAAATTAAATCCAAACAAAATGGTAAACTTTCCAACTTCAAATCACACAAACAATTTATGATACTTTCGGTAGCTTATGGAAGAATATAACTGTAGGGCTAGAGTTTCTATTACATAATTATTGTACCGTCGTCGAATCTAATTGCCTTCTCGTGTAGTATCTAGAGGAATGAATTACCAAGCCATTGAGGTCATCAACACTATAAAATCAAAGGCATTGAATGCAAATGAATTGCAAACTTGAACTTGCACAACAAATCCTGTTGACTTTATCCATTGCTTTACTGACTTGAAGACAATAGAACCAATCTACATCATTTCATTTCATCATACGTTTCAATACTTGCAAACTACTGTTGTTGTATTGTTCGATGTAAAGTGAGATTTGTCAAGTTCCATTTGGGTAACTGCCATCATAAAACAGGAAGTACATTATTGCAAGGCCGGGAAATAAGGGACCGCCGGACGAGAATGAATTACAAGTCAGACGATCCATGTTCCCGCCGAGGTATATGTAATGCTTTTCTTAAACAGTGCTAGAAAGTAATAAGAGATAAAGCATAATTTATGTTAAAAATACTATGTGTTAGAACAATTATTATTTAATTGCTTAAAGAAAAGGCTTTGTTTGTCCATTGTCTTTCCGTGCTCATTAATAGTAGTAATATAAAAAATCTTTTTTAAAGTGTATGGTGCAGATATAATGCTGAAATCAGCATCATAATTAAACTTAAAAAGTAATTCCACAAGCATTTTTTTTTATATCTGGCAATTGCGACGCAGTTGCTACTAAGTAGTTGGCTGTGCTGTGCAAAAAGCTTTAACTAGATAACCAAATGGCTCACTGATAATTTACTGTCGCTGAATGTTGTTAAAACGAAGTTTTTGAAATTCAGTATTAATCAACCTAAAGCATTAGAACCGTTAAAGCTCAGTTTAGCCGCCCATAACCACGCTGTAAATAGTAACCTTCCTTGCGACTGTCCTAAATTAGAAACAGCTGCCAATGTCAGGTACCTGTGATTTTAGATGAACATCTAAATTTTGTACCCCACATTGAAAACCTAACAGGCAGATTACGTATGCTTATATATGTTTTTAAGCATCTCAGACTGTCTGTCTATCTGTAGCTGAACCGCGTATATTAAAAATGGTGTACCTTGCATTGTGGCAATCTTTACTGGTTTACCGCATAACATAATGGGGTGGTTCATCTAAAACTCACATGCTTAGGATCGAGCGCGCTCAGAGAGCAGTTTTAAAGGTTTGTACGTTAAAACCTTTTCGTTTTCCAACAAGAGCTTTATATGAATGTTGTGAGGTGCTCACAGTACGCCAGCTCTTTGTTCTCCGAACCATACTACGACAACAAACTATCCCAGTATATACTTTTCTTCATTGCACTACGGTAGACCTGTGAATGTCATTCCCCGAATAGTTATCTGCAAAACTTCTATCAGCCAAAAGTTCTTTTACTTTTTGGGACGATTGTTATACAACAAAAGTAATAATATTTTAGCGTTTCATCTAAAAAATAAATACGAGTGTAAGAATATGTTAAACAAAACACACACACACACACACACAGAGAGAGACACACACACACACACACACACACACACGCGCGCGCGCGCGCACACACACACACACACACACACACACACACAGCACATACACCTTCAGCGAGAGAATTAATTATTTATAAAGATTATATAATTTAGATTCATTCAATTTGACTCATTTGCTGTCTCCACAAATTACTACTAGTTCTTAACTGCCTCCGTGGCCGAACGGTTACCAATCCACGCAGAGGTCCCAGGTTCGATTCCCGGGCCGGGAGAAATGTTTGTATGGCTTACATTTATTTCTCTCGTGAGTTTCGGTGTAATTTGCGGTTGTCTATGTGTGTGTCCATGGCACCCGCGACACAGGGTTTCCCTAGTGTGGGGCTATGTTGAGTGTGTGCGTTATTTATTATTTATTATTATTATTACATTTTACTCATTAATATTTTCGCATAATGTATAAATAAAATAACGTAATAAATTGTTAATTTTACTACGCCATTGAAAGGTGTGCTGGCACTAATAGCACACACAGGTTTACCTTTTTTAAGTACCAGCGGTCGTATCTACTGATTCTTTGATACTTACTTACTGTACACTATGCATGTTGTATTATTATTATGGCAAATAAATGTATTATTATTATTATTATTTTTATTGTTTACAATAATCAAGTCACAACATGAACATATAAATGATTCAACGGCTTTGCTCGTTACATACGCATCAGCCCCCATAGCATGGCTACCCATGATAGTCGCGACCCGCGATACAATTGAAATAAGCGCGCGATAAAATTGAAATAAGCGGGTGTTGTATTTAAACCATCTATATGATGAATTAGTTGATTTTGAGATTGGCCGCTATTCTAGAAAACCATCGATATGTTTACATATAAACCTCTAAGTCCCTCTGCTGCAAAACAATTTATTTTCCAATACAAAGTAATACTAATGAAGTATAACTTGTTTCAGAGCCATGCCGGACCAGGAAGTACAATACAATAGAGACCTAGTCGCCATAAAGGACTGGCTTAGCAAGCAACCTCATTTACCACACGATGTCGGTAAGTACCACTTTATTCAATACTTTACACAATATTCTTTTTACAGTGTTCTGTGGTAACAGTATTTATAATTTGCAACCTATTGCAAATTGCAAACTTACAAACACATTGACGGTGACCAGAAAGCTGGTACTAAGTGAAAAATAACGGATAACTCGCGAGAGTTACGTGAATTTTTTAGTTAATATGTCTGAGTCTTTATGTTACGGCTTTAGTTACTTACTTTGGCTGGTATGTCAGTAGTGTGTACGTTACATAATTACCACAAATTTCCAAAAATTCGAATTGAATTGAATGTTGGTTATACTTGTCATTGCTACCATTTCAGAAACATAGGATTCAAGAAAACCTTATACCACCACCAATAAATTAGACCAATATTGATAGTGATAGTGGGTGTGTCGAACTATTTTTAAATGTTAATAAATTTGTTGTGAAGTCAATGACCGTCGATTTATTTAAATTAAATGTCAAGTGTCATTGAAAAGCTTAGACTATGGAAACTAAAGGACATGTTACGTTGACATATATAAATCAGACGTTATATGTATATGATGCATTTCGACGTCGAAAACATAAACATATTATTGTCTTTGTTTAACTATTACGTGCCGTCTTAAGCCAAAAGAGATAGCATTACATTGGTCTGTGTCAAACACGGGAATCGAAAATTCGTAACGTCATTTTAAATGCCAACCGTGGCCATTTCAAGTACATGAGGTACATGATACCGTTGTCAAAGGGAAGTACATCAAATGTCAAAACAAATGTTTTTCCAAATGTATTATTGAATTATTCACATGTATTATAATTAAATTGGACAAAAATATTGACAGTGAGAATAATTAGGTATTAATAAAAATGCGACGCTGCAGCATTAAAGGATGCGGCTTTAGAAAAACTGCAAATCAATCGAATGTTACATTGCACAGGCATGTGTTATTTTTTTGTCTATAAATCACACAATAGCCCGAATATTTTATGTAATTAGACTTATTTAAGTAGTTTATTTATAAATCTTGCCAAATTTTGCTTTTATTACTTTAGATTGCCTGTTTGTTTGTATATTTTGATGATTGTTGTTAACGATTATTTTGAGATAGTGTTGATCTTGTAAGCATACATATTATCGATATTCTGTTATTAAAACAATTCACTAGGAGGTTTTTATTGTTTTATTATTATTATTTCAAGTTTTCCTACAAATGAAAAAAGGAAGAAAGAATGGTTGGAAATCATAGGACTGCCGAATATAAACGTTGGATCAAAGACCATCTTCATTTGTTCGCTTCATTTTGAAGAGTCAAATTTTAACAGAACTTTAAATGTAACTAGATTACATGACAATGCTATTCCATCATTAGGTTTATTGGTAAATAATTTTATGTTCAATTTAGATTAAACAAGACTCATTTACTAGCTATTCTCAGTTCCTGAAAACAAAATTATCCACTCGTTTCTTATTTTTCCCAATGACAACTCTAACTATTAAAAATGACTATTTTTTTAAAGCCTGCAATACAATGACAACATACCAACGTATAGACAGCCTATTTGCCTTGCCTTGCCTTGTTCGGTGTCACTCGCATAGCTGACCGAGTGAAGGCGAGCGCCAACGTGTATAGAGTTCATTTGGCTTATCACAAACCAAAGGCGCTCGACCAATAGCGTTCACACGTTAGTCCGTCCGCATATGAAATGCATACTGGTTTTATAACTCTATTCAAAAAAAAAATCAAAACACAAAATAAAGAAGTATATATTATATATCAACAAAATGTCATGTTGTTCTGTTTCTGGAATAATCAGCATCCACCACGTTCGTTTTTGTCATTTCTTTTTTGCAACTTTATTGCGGGGATTTTATCGTGGGGAAAAGCTAGTACATGATAATTGTTGATTTCCGATAATTGATTTTTACAACTACTTCCATTATTTCTGTGTTAAAATTGCTTGATAGATTCATTTGCTTAAGAAAGCCCGGGAATTAACGGGAATACTAGAATCCGCAGAAACCTGAATAGACTTGTACTTGACGGTTAGTTAAAAGACGTTATGTAAATATGTACTAAAATGTAGGTTAAAGGCGTACCTCTTAAAGTAATTTTTATATTCTATTTAGTAAGTACAATTAATACTACGTAATGTTAAATACAAGTAAAGTAGGTATAATTAAGCAAGAATGCGCATGTCGCCAACAAACTGCACAGCAGTTTGGTGACTTTTACTAAATAAGTTACCAGTTGTAATGTTGAAAATAAATTTTTTTTGAAGTTTAAAAATGTGTGTTGACATTTTTAATAATATACCACTCGAGATTAAATTATCAGACTTGTGTTTGTTTAGGCATACTTTGGTTACAGTAAACTAAAGAAACAAAAATTCAAGCCATACATTTGCATGTCGATAATGACTTATCGATAGATTATGGTACAACACTAAAGAAATCCGCCATTTGTAACTTTCAAATTTTGGTAATATGCACGTTGATTCTGTACTTAGGGCAGCTCCTTTCTTTTATTTCTTTTATTTTTTTCCATCCTCTAAGTTGAAAAGTCACCAGGATTCGCTCTGGGCCTTTTGGAGGGAAAAGTGTTTTTATTTTGACTTTCAATTATTTTGTGAAATCTAGTTTAAAGTGGAATAGGATAGCGCTATTGTGCCTTAATCGAAGATTAAAACGCGAAATTATACGAATCTCGAACTAAAATACCCGTATCGGCCCGTTTTAAGGAATCCCGAGTCAATCCAATTACGCCGCCTCAAATTGCCTATCCTCTTTGTGGCGGCCATATTTACAGACACTTTTCCCTCCAAAAGGTCCAGAGCGAATCATTTAGTCTTGAGATGTTTTATCATAGACAACTATAGTCGATTTGTTTAGGTGCTTAACTAAATGTAAACAATCTTGATACATCTTTTTATTCAAATATAATTTATATATACTTACAAATCAATAGGTATAAAAATAGGCATGCAATTTTATATAAAACTAAGTTATTTGTATTTTGTATTTGAAGGTAAGTAATAATCATTATATGAATGTGTATTTCATTAAATAGACATCTCAAGATTGTTTACATACGATGATTATGCAATCTATGTATCAGGGCATTTTAACTTTGAGTTAACAGTATCTATAGTTTCTTCATGATCATCTTGCAAGGTCGGTCTTGGTCTTGTGGTCTTGCTGTAACTAGGCGGACTTGATTTTACAAAAACGCAAGAATATGACTAAGAAGGCAGAACCAAGATCGATTTACCGGGTCATGAAGGTTTCATCACAATCTTTTCCTTCTTTATTGTTATTAAACATTTACAAATTTAAGTCATGGGTACAAGGCTTGGAACCGTTGACCACGTTTTGAAGCAGTAGAATTATTTGTGAAGAATTCGTACAGGGCAGCACAAGGAGCGCCACTGCTAGTAAAAATATTGTAAAAAGATATTAGTATATTAGTTGTTTTTTGGTTTAGTTATTTTTTATTTTTCACTACATGACATTAATTTATTCTTTGTGACATTACTCCACTAGTTTGTTATGATTATTGAACTGTCAGTTTATGTTGAATCTTTGCATTCATAATTATTTTTTCGGATCTAAAATCGCTATTGAATGGTGTCAGACGAGACCATAGGACCTGTAAACCTGTAGACCTGTTTTTGAAAGTACAAATATACGCGACAATCAAGAAGAAACAAAGAAGTCAATGATATACTTGTACAAAATTATCGCCATGCGCATAATTAATAAATGACCTTTCCTACTTCTTGATTAAGAAAGTCACGTCGTCGTCCCATTCTATTGCACGACTTGAAAATTCGACGTTTCGAAATTGAGGTCTAAATAGCTTTCATAACGGCAAGTCTAATTTCTATTCTGTTTCCTACTGTGAAGTTGAAGAAATCTAGGTCTCTGCAATTAAGTGCCTTTTTTTTAATAAAAAAATTACGTTGCGTTTGCAATCGCTATTTTTAACTTTCTAACAGTTATTTTTAATCTCATTAATTACTTATGTCCACATTAATGTTCGGCACCGAAAATTGCATGTTTTAGATATCATTCTGAACAACTCTTTGAGGCAACCACACCAGGCAACTTTTTTATTATTTTATTAAACTTGCTCAGAAAAATGTGATTTTTAAGTTTGTTGAATGTCACGACGTTTGACCTCCATGATGATCAATTATTTTTGTGAAATTACTCCAGCTGGATCGACGGATTTTTTCTTAGTAATTAAATTCGTGAATTTTCCTAAACGAAGAGAACGCATTAACACTTTTTATCCATAAAAAAAAAATATTTTTGTACAATGTTTGATAACAACACGTGACCCAATAAGCAAAAAGAAGTAGAAGCGCTCTTGTCGTAAATCCTGACAACATAATCTACTAAAGATCATAAGAAAAATATGTTTTCACCTGATCCTTATCAATGATTTACTTTAGAACTTTATTCTTCGTTAGTAATCGGTGTTGTAAACGAATCAGTCGAGTGAATTAATAAGTCCACTAGTAAAAGGATAGAGCACATGGTCAAATTGCATCACACTGATCAGGTTCTCTTTCCTCGGTTCTCACCAACACCGCAAAGGCTGACCACGGTTCATTTACATCCATAGCCTAGTTAAACATGATAAGTATACAGATATTGATAGATGCTAAATTGTATACGGTTATACAGAAGACGAATACAAAATAAGTGTAGAGATTATATTATAGAATATAGCACCATGGTGTAAGAAGGCAACATCTGCAATATGACAACTTTTCAAGATGAGTTTACAGATTCTACAAGCTAAATTAGCAGATAACCTTATTATACTTAAATAAAATAGCTATAAAATTTAATATATACATAAATTTGTTTCATGTTTGTATGACTGTCATGCATCAAGTATATAACCAGAAGTAGAGACGAAATGTCATTTAATATGTTTGAAAACTATTCTCCCAAATCATTACAGAGACAACTGCGCTCAGATTGGCCAACCCGAATT